AGATGAAGACTAACCGTTAAACTTAAACAAATTATAAAATTTATGATAGTGATAAAGGACACGATGCAGCCTATTTAGATTTCCATGGATTATAAAATTTATAATAAAAATAAAGGGCACTATCAAAATGATTGATGCAGCCTATTTAGATTTCCATGGATTATAGAATTTATGATAATGATAAAGGGCACTATCAAAATGATTGATGCAGTCTATTTAGATTTCTGTGGTTTATAGAAATTATGATAATGATAAAGGGCACTATCAAAATGATTGATGCAACCATATTTCGATTTCCATGGATAAAATTTATGATAATGATAAAGGGCACTATCAAAATGATTGATATAGCTTATTTGGATTTCCGTGGATTATAGAATTTGACACAGCCTATTTGGATTTAAAGAATTTGACTTATCGTTACCAACGAATGTAAAAATTAACATGATCAACAATAAATATAAATATAATGATAATGGTAACGTGAATATTGACAAACTATATAATGAATTTGCTACGGTGTTTGATAATAAATTAGGATTCATAAAAAATGTCGAACATGTAAAAACTACACCATACCATCCGAGAAGTAACGGATTACTAGAAAGAGGCATACCGATATTTTGCTAATAGAGAACAAACATAATGATGGGTTATTTGTATATTATATTATTATAACTTTCCGACATGTATTATTATATTATCGAGGTTTATCAAATTGCATATTTTAGAAGTTAAATTGGATAATTATATAAATGTATATATACAAAAGAGTTACAAATAAAATTCATTATTGTTCTTAAAACATAATCGATTTAATAATTCAAAAAGGGATAGGAGAAGGAATTCTAAAAGGAATTCAAAAACACTCCAAAATACAGCATAATGTATATTTTACCTCTAATTCGTGTAATGAATGCACGATTACTTCTCATTGACAATTTGCGAACTCGTGACATAGAAACTGTAAAAGAGCATTATTGTAGAATTAGTACTAAATTATAAATTACTCTAGGGTGCAATTTACGAAATACAAATTATTTAAAGCTTTGTCTTCGTGGGGAAATGTCGATGTTCATGAGTCACGATATGAGAACATATCATAAATGAATAATTTTTTTTCAGATCCGGGGTCTTTTTATATCATAGTGAATACAAAATTATTTTTATAACTAACTACAATAAATAGACTTAAAGATCTCCAATAAAATGTATAGTAAGCTTACCTAATAGTGCCCTCCCTCTTAGCAAAATCCTGACTAGACCTAGGTTATGTTAAGAATTTTTGATCTAGAATTGAAGTATAGGTGAGATAAAGAAAATTGTTTTAAAAATAATTAAATTGGTTTGTAATGATTTAATTATTAAATAAAAACAACTTATGATATCTCACCAACACACTTTTTATTGGTAAACACTTACTCGAAATGGGTTGAGTATAAGAAAGTAGATTGGGCCTAATTTTTCAAGCTCGGCCAAAAATTTTCATTCATAAATTTGTACGGCCTGACCCAATATTTTCAAAAAAATATTAGACCAAACCCGAAATAAGACCGGTCTGGTTTAAAGTCGTTCGGGCCGGGAATTGCATATCTTTATAAGGCAAAGTAAGTTGTAATTAAGAAATTGTGTGCTATGGCAAATATGGGATTTTAAGAATTTAAGTTTAAGGGTGGAGCAGGGTTTAGAAGTGAAATTTTCCAAAAATTTTGTAAATAAAGGGGTAACGGTATATATTCTAGCCCATCCTACCACTCGAGCTTAAATGGGTTGACTGAAAATATGGAGGGACTAGTAAAAACATGGCTAATGAATTCGAAAAAGGGGATAGGAGACGTGTGGATTTCATTGGCGATTTATAATAATGCAAAGAATAAAGATGCGTGGACACTAGCGGAACGGTTTATGGGTAGAAAAAGGATTTTGGAAATAGTAAAGTAAAGCGGGAGGAACAAAGGGGATGTTAAACAGTTAGAATATATCATAGGACAAAAAGTATAGACAAGAATGTATAACACCAGGAAGTGGAAACTAGTGCTATTGAATGGTATAGGGATCAAGTGCGTGATTGTGAATATGGGGACAGAAGGAGACAATGGAATAAGTACAGAACAAGAGATGGGTGTAAACGGATATGAAGACTAAAATTCAATGTATATCAGGCAACGATACGGGCTAATGGCAAAAAATCAAAATGGGAAAGTTCAAATAAGAATTATTATGTAATATATTTAATGTTTTGTACCGATGATGTATTTATAAATAAGTAATGGCATTTTTAATATTATATGGGTTAGGAAGGTAGCCTCTACAAAGAGGGGGGGGGGGGGATATCATAATTTTATGTTTTTATTTATCGATGCGAGAGGGTAAAATAAATAAAGATGGAGGACAATGATTATTTTTTGCAGTAGTGTTGTTAAACAGCCCGATTTTTAAGACTGGCGCAATTATGATTTCAGGAAAAATATTATGTAAGCCTCGAGATTTTGAGGTCCAAACATTTCTCCCCTCTATGAACAAAATTTCCATGTTTACATGATATTATTTTGGCCTAAATCTTAATAGGGTATTTTTAATAATTGACCCATATCAGATCGTTTAACTACAATATTTGGAGATTAATTAAATTTTGTTTTTATTTTAAATAATTATGGAGGAAAGATGAAAGTCGATAATATTACATATTAGTTAAATATTTACGAATGATTTAGATAGGGTAATCTAACCATATAGTATTGTTAAAAATTAGGATAGGAAATGAGTCATATAAGGGAATGTTACAGGGTAAGTTATTCCGGGGAAAAGTGTATAAGCGAAGGTAAATAAAATTATTATTTAGATTATTAAATTTTTAGTAGAAATATAAGGGAAAATTATTTATAAATGGGAAGAGGCGGTTGGAATTCGTTATATGTAATTAATCTATTTATACGACGCCTTCTTTTTATGTTGCCTAACCTTTCAATACTCCGGTGAAAAAAATGACGTTAATACTAGGGTTGGGTTTAATAGACCCCAATTTCAAATGTTAGAATCTCCAGTTATATTCATTATTTTTATTTAATATTTAATATAAGAGAACTAACCTTAAACTTGATAATTATTTATTTTTATTTCTAGAGCTTAGATTAAAGGTGATGAGGATCAGAGGCCTTCATGGGCCGGGCCAGCCCGCATGAGTGCAGCAATTTAGTTTTCTTATCTAGATGTAGGGAATTAGTCCTATCTGTTATTTTCTAGCGGGTCTGGGTTTAAAAATTTTTTTTTAATGGGCTTGGACCTAAAATTATTAAATTTAAATTATTTAAAACAGTTGCTAATTTAATGATATATTGCCTTTTTTTCTTCTAATAATAATAAATTTAAGTATTGTAAACATAATGATTACCTAAATATATTTAAATATTGTTAATTTTCATTAAATAAAAAAAAGTTAAATTTTTATACGGGCTTTGGGAAATTTTTGTGAAACTTATTATGGGCTTGAGATTTTTTTTAACATTAAATATGGGCCAGGCCGAGCTTGGGCCAAAAATTTTTTTTTTACTGCGAGCCTGGGTCGGGCTTGGTCAAAAAATTAAGGCCTAAGGTCTCTAAAGAGGATAATTATAATTTGTGCCAAATTTTCTAAAAAAGGCATACTTTTTTTAAATTTCAAATATTAAATTAAAAAAATAACTTATCTATCATATAATCATGATAATTTATAATATGGATCTTTATTCTTCAATATAAAAAATTACACTAATACATTCAAACATAAAAAAATATAGAACATTGAATATGTTAAATTTGACATGCAAAAATAAAACATTAATGTGTTCTAAACATAAATTTATTTTACATATTTGAAAAAAAATATTTTATTTTTTTTATTTTGATAGCTAGATATAAAAATTCCAGCTAAATAAAGATTTCCCAATAATGCCTTGACATCAACTTCTTAAGTAGAACTTTCATATTGGTCAGTATAGTTTTTACATATAATTTTAATTTTATCATTGGTATGATAAATAATCTCTCAATCATTTTTGGTGTTATGAACAAGTCAAATTCTGGAGTGTCAGCTTCTTTCCCTTATTCTTTTACTCCTCAGATCTATAACTAAATTTTGTTGATGAGTTCTTATTCTTTGATTAGACTTTTTCCATTTAGTAAACTTATTTTTTTAGCTAATTTTAAAGGGAAATATACTATGATAGATGATTCCATATTTACCTAAATAATATTAAGTTTATTGTCTTCAACTAACATTTCTTCTTCATCTAATTCAGATTGTGTATCATAATCACTATCAACATCCTCACTATTAATTACATTGTCATAAACACCTCAAATAAAATGATATTACATCTTAAATAATTATATTGTCATAAACACCTCAAATAAAATATTACATTAAATAATTATATATTTAGTTACAGAATCTGTAAAAATAATTATAAATAATAAAAATGAGTCAGCTAGTGAAAAATAAAATACCTCCACCAGAGAAAATATTTATGTTTTCTTTTTTCATATATTTCATTAAAAATATAAGATATTTAAATTTTGTTTTAATAAATTTTATAATATACTAGTATATATTTATAATTTTAAAATAAAAAAATTTCTTAAAAAATTACAAATTAACTCTGGTGGGGTCTCACAAACCCCAATCATTCACAAAATTTAAATCTTCAAAACTACTCAACCTAAATATATGAAATCTGGAATATAGATTCTAAGACATATTTGATAAAGCTACTGAAGAATCCATATCAAAATATTTAACAATTTTTATGTAATTAGTTCTAGCATGCCTGGGGTTTCATATAACCACTGGAGTATTGAAGGGTTAATCTTACTATACCTTATTTTTGTATGACGCTTATTCTACCTAGCCTCATTAATTATATGATAAATTGTAATTTGATATTAAAATTAATACAACGTTTACAATGAAAAATTAAACTTTATTAGGTGAGTAAAAATTTCATTTAGATTTAAGCAAATTTTACTTAAATTTATATATCTTGAAAAGAAATAATTTTTGAGCACTTATTCATATAAATTACATAAAAGTAGTAACATTCTAACATTCAAAAACTGAGATATTTAATTATATGTTTCTATAATTGTTATAAATAATAGAGATTTTTATGTTTGAATTCATAATGTAGATGGGTGTATTTTGCGAATGTGTTGCTCCATATTGGCTTTTTGGCTGAATCGTTTTGGGCAAAAGATACAAGGATAAGGTTTGAGCTTGTGGTGTACTTTTAACATGTGTTCTTTCAAATTTCCTTTTTGGGTAAAATTTTTTCCACAAGATACACATTCGTGAGGTCTAACTTTTTCATGAATAGTAGATATATGTTCACGGAGGTTACCTTTTTGACTGAAAGATTTTTGACACATGTTACATGGGTATGGCCTGACCTTTAGATGTACCTAATGCAAGATCAAATTAAATTCAATAGGTGAGAAGATAATAAAATCAAAGATAAAAGGTACCAGTAATATTTACAATTTTAATCAATACATGTAAGTGTAACCAATAGTCAAAAGTAATTATTAAATTTTATAAAAATGAAGTAGCATAATTAAGCCATGAAGCATGTTTAGAAAATTTTTTAAACAAATGATAAAAAAAGAAAAAGATATCATTTAAAGGTAAAATATTTGAATACCATTAAAATTAATATCCATTATATAAAACCGATATCAATAATAAAATTCTTTTGTATTTCTTTTTTACTTTTAAAATTTTGTTGCAGTATTAATTTTATTAAGAGAAGAAAATTAACATACAAGAAAATGCTTATGTACAGGGTTTCCCATTCAAAAAAGGAAAAGTTTCAATCAAGGAAAAGGTCCTATCAAAAAAGGAAAAAGGTTAATCATAAAAGGAAAAGGCCCAAACAAAAAAGGAAAAGTGTCAATCAAAAAAGGAAAAGTCCGATCAAAAAAGGAAAATGCCAAACAAAAAAGGAAAATCGTAATTTTTTAAATTTTCAATTTTTCTTAAATTCTTATTATATTTGTCATCCCTTCTTATTTTATTTCTAACTTTGTGATTTCTTTACTTTATTTGTGTCTTTTCTCAATTTATTTTTCTTACTATATCTTTTCTCAATTTTTTTTCTTCTATTTTTGATTTTATTTTGTATTTTTAAAAATAATTTATAAATTTAGGTCCATTTTTTTAACAATTCTTTACGTTTTTTTATACATATAATACAATATTCTTTTTATAATTTTTTCATTGTAATTTTTTACATACATTTTTAACCTTTTCAATCTCTTCATTTTTGATCTTTATTTTTTGGCCTTTTCTCAATTTTTTTCTTCTCATTTATGATAATTTAAAAAATAAAAATTTAAGAAAGATTATTGTATTTAATTGCAATTGCTAAGTTAAATTAATCGTTTAGTTATAATGTATTTAAAATTAAATAAGTTTAAACTGTAATACCAAATGATATGTATTTAAATTAATAAAATATAATCATTTTAAAATTATCAAAAATGAGAAGAAGAAAAATTGAGAAAAGCTCAAAAAAATAAAGATTAAAAATGAAGAGATTGAAAAGGTTAGAAATGTTTGTAAAAGATAAAAATGAAAAAAATCATAAAAAGAATATTGTATATATGATGAAATAAAAATGTAAAGAATTGTTAAAAAAAATGGAACAAAATTTATAAATTATATTTAAAAATACAAAAATGAGAAGAAAAATAAATTTAGAGAAGATATAGTAAGAATAATAAAAGTAAAGAAAATCGCAAAAAGTTAGAAATAAATTGTGAAAAATTGCATTAAGAAAAAAAATGTAAAGAAATCGCAAAAATTTAGAAATAAATTAAGAAGGAATAACAAAAATAAATAAAAATTTTAAAAAATTACGATTTTCCTTTTTTGAATGGGAATTTTCCTTTTTTGATTAACACTTTTCCTTTCCTTTTTCGATTGACACTTTTCCTTTTTTGATTGGACCTTTTCCTTTTTTGTTTGTCACTTTTCCTTTTTTGATCAAACTTTTTCCTTTCTTTTTGGGAATTTCCTTTTTTGATTGACACTTTTCCTTTTTTGTTTGGGCCTTTTTCTTTTTTGATTGAACTTTTCCTTTTATGATTGACCCTTTCCTATTATGATCGGACCTTTTCCTTTTATGATTGAAACTTTTCCTTTTTTGATTGGGACTTTTCCTTTTATGAATGGGAAACCCTGTAAGTTTTATTAAAATTGAAAGTAATGTCACTAAACACTATTTAGTGGTCCACTATTAGTTACAATTTTTAAAAGTATTGTCGTTACTTTTATGATACTTTATAAAAAAAATTATTTATTTTTATTACATAATAATCATTTTATCTTTTCCGTACCAAACAATTATTCAACAATATCACTTGAGGGCAAGGCGTTATTTAAATTTATTTTTAATGCAAAAAAAATTATCAAAAATTTTAAAAAATAGATCAAGATAATTATAGCGTTCTTGAAGTATTTACTAAATCTATGTTAGCATTAGATTATTCAACGTTATTAATAGCCTAATTAGCTTCTCTTTGAATCCAGTTAGGAATATAAGGTCAATTCAGCATACAATTTTACTAAATAAGGGCAACTAAAGCATTATTAGCGTTTTTAAGCTTGAGAACCTTTTACAAAAGGCCCGGCCCGAATCGGGTTCGGGCTGAGTCAGGGCTAATATTTTTAAAAAAAAGTAGGGTCGGGCCTATAAATTATTTTTAAAAATAATTTCGGGTTCGGGTAGGGCCGGCAAAACCTTTTTTAAAAAATTTCGGGCCGAGTTGGGCTTGAAAAATTAGGCCCGATGCAGGTCACTAGAAAGAATACCCCTTTAAAAGAATCAAAATTTAAAAAAGCTTTTGTTTATGAGTTAAAATAGATTTATCAGTCGATAAATATAAACATAATTTGATTTTTATTTACATTATATTTAATTTAAAATTAATTAGGAAATATGATTTTAACAATCCAGTAGCGTCACTGGGGGGGGGCACAGTGATTTGGGTGCACTTATTTTTTAGAATATATCAAAAAAAGAAAGTCATGAAAATTATTTCTAAAAAAGGTTATTTTAAATATTTCCCAAAAAATTCTGAAAATATTTCCTAAAAAAGGTCATTTTGAAAATAAAGTTGAGCGAACTAAATATGTAAATGATAAAGTTAACTAATCTAATATACAATAAAGATGTTTTGGCTAATTACTTGAAGAATGACATCTACAGCTACTATATTTTTTTGAAATACAAATGGAAAAAAAAAATCTTCTTTGACACATTTTGTTAAATCTAGAAATAAAATACTCAAATAAACATTTTTCTAATATTTCTTAAATTAAAATATGTTTATAAAATTAAATACAGCCCTCAAGTACTAGTCTTGAATAATTATTTAATAAGGCAAATTTTATACATTCAAATTGTTTTCCTAGATTTGAGGATGATATTATTATTTAAATTTAATGAAAATAAACTAAGCATTTTTATAAAGTAATGAAGCTAATAGTTACTTTTAGACAAAAATTGGTGATAGCGTGCTCCTTCAAAAAGTAGTGTTTTTAACACTGAATATTATCCTTAATACTTTATACATCAAAATTTAAATACTGTATTATTTTTTTTAATATAATGTTCAAAATATTTTGCAAATTTAAGAAAAGAAAATTCCTTTATCATTATTTAGTAAAATTTTGTTGTTATTATTTGTTTCATTTTTTTAATATCTATTTAGTTTGCAACATTTTACATTTTAAATCACTTGATAAATTAGAGTTATAATAGATTTTAAAATATAAAGATTTTTTTAAATAGGTTTTATTAAAAACAAAGGTCATATAAAAATATAAATCATGATTAAGATTAAAATAAAAATTAAATTAAGTAATAACAATGGTGAAACTGGTTTATTTGCATTGCTATATGGAACATGAATAGCTGCAATTACTTTGATGACCTAATGTAATGTCTTGCTTCAAATAAAAGGTTTTATTATGATCACCAATTATTTGGCTTAATTTTCTTTCTAATAATGTTAAATTTAAGTAGCATCAAAAGCATTTATGATGTGTGATAAAAAAATTAGCAAAATTAATTTTAAAAATAAATCAATTTTTAGTATTTTATAGTGTGTTTATAAAATGAAGCACACTAATGCTATCATTATTTTTCAAAAAAGTGGCACAACATCCGTTATCTCTCTGATTGAAAGGGATTTTTTTTTTTAAAAAAAAAAAATTTATGTGGGAATTGGAATTGGAAAAAAATCTTATATTTTGTTTTTAAATATAATAAAGTTTTTTAGATTTTCATTTAAAAAAAATGTGGCATTGGTATCAGCAAAGAAGTTGGTAATAGTGCATTAAATAAAATAGTCATTATTTGCAATATCCTTCCATAAATTTATATTGGGGCAAATATAAGTCAAGATGAAACTATGTTATTACAAAAATAAAGAAAATCCTAAAAATTTTTTAGTAGTATATATATAATAAAAATTTAACTATATAATTTTGAAAACTTAGTGATATATTAGAGATGGTTCTGCTCATTTTGCCAAAATATTTTCATTCACATGTTCATCTATTGATCCAAAAATATTTTTAACCCACCCATTCACCCAATGTTAATTTTTTTACTGCTCCAGAGCTTGGGTAGTATGGTTGGGCAAATTAAAAACTTATCTGTTACAGAATTCTAACATGTTTACCCCCCTACCACCATATCAGGAGGTGTAATAATTTAAAAATTTAAATATAAGGAAATGTTCCAATGATTGCATCCTCCTTATTTAATTATTTTAAATTTAATATTGAAAAATTTTTAAATTATACAATTATTTTTGTTTTAAAATAAATTAAATATAACTTATGAAGTCAACTGTAATGATAGGGAATTTATTTATTTAAATATTTAGGCCATTCTATTAAAAGTATTCTTTTTGTTCATTAAGTTAGTTAATATTTTGTAAGCGATATAAAATTAAGATAGATTCCTCAAAGGGCAAAAAAGGGATAAATATGTAGTTTAAATCTTTTTTAAACATTTAGTTATATAAAATCTATAGACATTTTTTCTTGTATAATTAATAGTATATTAAATTAATTATAGGTAAAGTTTATGAATCGCATAATATTTTATTTTTTTCAAAATATATATTATCAATTCTTTTAAAAATTAGATAAAACTTTATTACAAAATTTTCCTTAATAGAAAATATTGTAAAAATATAAAAAAAATTAATATGAATAATATTTAATTATCAAAAGTCTATTATTTGTTAAAAATTATAAAACATAATTAAATATTAAAAATTTAATTACTTAAAATTAGAAAAGCATTAAATATATAACATAACAATTATAACATTTCAAATTATTTATATAAAATGTAACTGCAAATAGATTTTATAAAAATGTTTTACTTGAGTTATATGGGTGTTTAAAATGCCTTTAGAAGTATAATATTTATTGCAAATTGTGCATTCAAATTTTTTAAATGTAGCAACGTTATTATTTTCCCTTATTACCTCTATATATGATATATATTTATAATATATACTATAAACATTACCTTGCTTTAAATCTGAAATATTGCATTCTTTAAATAACTTTTGAGTGTTAGATTTAGATTTTCCTGATAAAAAGGTAAACAAATCTTTTGCTGATATATTTTCCAAAATTTTGTTGTACATCTTACAAACATCAGAAAATTCTTCATTAGAGGAGTTATCTTCTACATCTAGTTCATTCTGTATCATTTTTACATTAAAAAGCAAAGTATTTCTTTCGAATCTAATAGAGTGCTAAAATCATAAGAGTGTCATATTTCACATATAATAGGTGAGTGATTAAAAGTCGTGACATAAATTAAATTGAAGTGTGACAAAATATATAAAAGAAATTATTATGAGCAAGAAAATATAATGTGTAAATAAACTCACTATATTCTGCAAAATCTAAAAGATACCTGCCAAGCTGCGAAGCAACTAATAAAATTTATTTATTTTTTGCCTAACTAAGCGGTTCATATTTAATTAATAAATTCACTACATTCGGTAAATCCATAGGCGTAGCCAGGGGGAGGGGCAAGGGGAAATTTCCCCCCCCCCTTCAAAAATTTATCACTTTTTGTAAATATCATTTTTAGCTATAAAAAATATCCCCCTTAGCCCTCCCCCTCACTCCCTGACCCTCAAATATGTATGCATATATCTTAAATAATAATTTAAAAGAAAGAATGTAAAAGTTGATATTTTTTTATAAAACTAATCATCATAATTTATAGATTTTGGGGAAAATAAATTTATAAATATATAAAATGAACCAAAAATGTTTTTTAATAAATGGAATATAAGCCAAGGATAAGTCTTAGGACAGAAGTGAAATGTATTATAATTATTAATAATAGATCTATAAAATTACTAAATAATATAATATATCAAATATAATTTTTTATAAAGTGAGTAATTTTAATTTATTTATCTTAATAAAAGTAAAATATAATTATAAAACTATTGATAAAATTAAATCATAAATTAAAAAAATATTAAAGCACAATATAAACAGTGGAATATTATATGTCGTCGATTTACAATATATCTAATTATCAAATGACAATCAAGTATTTTTACCAATATAGCGAATTATATATTTTACAGAAAACTATAAAATATTGATAAGGACATCAGAAAATATCTTTTAAAGACATTGTGGGATGAATAATATGAAGATTAAATTTATATATACCTAAATAGAATAGATGGCGTTAAATAATTGTATGCATATTGTTGCTATATTTAATATCAAGAGCATTGATTAGTAAATTTTGTCAGATTATTAACTGTAATATATTCTCTAACTATCAAATATGTCTGTAAAAGTGGAATTTTACCTAGTATTTTATAACTAATTCTATATAGTAGAGTAAAATTAACTATATGTCTACTTACTTATTTTAAATAAATTTCTTATAATTGTTTGGAATAAATTATTACCATGCTTTTATATTAAGGTATATACAATACAAGTAATTTATTATATTTTTATTTTATATAAACTAATAAAAAATATTTCATATTTGTTCCAGGCTTATTTTTTTTATTAAAATTTGTAAAAATATTTTATGACTATATATAGGTTAAATTAACCCGGCCGAAGGCCGTGGGAAAACTGGCCGAAGGCCCGCCCAAATGGGGGTCAGGGGGCGAAGCCCCCAATAATTTTTTGATTTCCCCCCCCCCCCTTATGAAAATCCTGGCTACGCCTATGAGTAAATCTAACAAATACTTATGCTGCTGAAGAGAAGTATCCAATAATTTCCATTAGTTATCTTGCAATATATTAAAAAATAATTTTATATCTGAAGTATAATAGAAAACATTTATCAAATTACAATTTTTTTCTATTACATAAAAAATAAAATTTGCCAGAATATTTTATTTACATATTATTTTTTTAATACTTCTAGGGTCTTGTTTAGTTATTATTACTACAAATAAATTTGAAATTACAAAGAAAACGCATTGGCGTACGCAGCGGGGAGGAGGAAGACAAATCCCCCCCCCCCCCAAAGCCAAAAAATGCAGATGCCGGATTATAATTTTCAAAAATATTATTGTTAATATTAATTTATATTTGTTAATATTTATTCCTATTTCATATATATATATATATATATATTTAATTACATTTATTTATCACATTCATCTACTAAGTTATTTTATCAACAATTTCGATTTCAAGTTTTCCTTGGCGTAATTTACCTATTATTTTCCAATTTTAGTGGCGTAATATTTATCTAAATTTCTAGTCAAATAATAATTATCTCTGAAACTCTTTGTCCAACAGGGAGAAAGAAATTGCAAGCTTGTCCAACGAGATCGAGTCTCCGCCGTCAAGCAGTAACAGCTATTATGAGTTAGAAGAGCCGATTATTAATGTTATTACTGAAATATCACAATGGCTTGAAAGAAATATTTCCTCAGAAGCAAAAAAATTATTGGATTCTTTAACTTATTCCCAGCGTCTACATGACAGGATTTTCACTGGATGCAAACCCCCTTCAAAAACCTTTGCCTACCCCCCTCAAAAATTCACGCCACGGCGGTGTCTCTTTATTTTTATTTTCACCTTTATAATTATATTAATACTCTTTTCAGAGAATATTAATAAGGATAACTTAAATTAATCTATCTCTACTACCAACTATCGATATTTTGTGAATATAAAGAATTAATTTTTTAAATAATAAATTCAATTAAAACCTCCATTATTTACAATGAATTAATTATTATGGCATTATGAGCTTGCTGATATATCTAAACCTTTGAAATTAAAAAGGATAGCAGAAAATTTTATTTGGAAAACAATGTGTATAATTGTTTACAATATATAGATTTGGTCGATAATTGTATTCCAATATTTCTATAATAAAAGTATTAATTTTTACAGCAATAAATTTTGTCCTATTTCATCTCAAAATTTAATAGATAACCCCCAAAAAAATTTATACCCCCATTAAAGCAGCCTACCCCCTCAAAAAAATAGGATGCAAACCCCTCCTGCTCATGTAGACGCTGCTTATTCCAAATTTTATTTCTCATTAGAATGTATTATTTAATTATATAACTATTTTAAGTATTACTTTTCAAAAACATAATATTGACTTGATTAAGAAGATGAGAATAGCGGAGAGCATTTTATTAGAACTCAAGGAAATTAGAGCTATTAATGTTGAAGAATTTCATATTTTATATGTTATTGTTGAGTCAGCTATACGTATTTGTTCCCCTCTACTTGTAGCAAGCGAGCTCATCGTCAAAACATTAATATAGGATCAGTAGAAGAGTATTATAAAACAAATGTCCCCTCTTCCAACCTTTTCCATATGGTGATAGAAAAAAAATAAAAATATTTGTTATATTTTTATCATGAATATGTTAAAATATCTTATAATGCCTTATTAGCTGAATAACTATGATTAAAAGATTAACTATGGTTGATACAGTCCTAAAAAATGCTATGGATGCTTTTTATTTCAAACACATTTTAGATTATACTCCCAATGTATTAAAATGGTTATATATATATATATTAGCAGCTCTTTAGGAAACTAATGAGAGAACATTCTCTTTTTTAAGAAGAATAGCAGAGCCTTGCAGAGGTACCATTTGCAGGACACGGCCCAGATTTTTTTTTTAATTTTTTTCCGGCCCAGGTTTTTTTCAAAATAAAATTTTCTGGCCCGGCCCTAATTTTTTTAAATAAATTATATTTATTTTTGATTTTTATAGCTAATAATGGCGATTTCAAATATTTGGTTTTAAAATATACAGCTCGACCCGGATATATTTAAAAAAATTAAAATACAGTCCGGCTCGAGTCTGTGAAAAACATACCTGTGAAATACAAAATCTGAAAGTAGATTGAATGCTTTGAATCTTTTGAATATTCATAGGCATTTAACGCCAAGCAAGGATAGATAATTGAAAAATTAGCTCAAAACATACAAAATACAATTATTCCTAAGAAACTTTTTGTGTATTAATTTATATTTCTAACATTTAAATTTTTTATACTTTATATATTTTAAAAGCTCAAAAAATTCAAATTTCAATTTTGTGTCATTTAAGTAATTCATATCGTGGGTTATATTCACTTTATATTTTATAATTCACATTTATTTTATAGTTTTTCAATGCCGGTTTATATATATAATTTTTTTAATTCACATTAGTTTAAAATTGTGTATTAGAAAAGTTATTAATCCTAATAAATTTATGTTTAGTATTTTTAATTAACAAGAATATTTCTTAAAAAATTTTATTATCCCCCCCCCAGACCAAATTCCTGCGTACGCGCCTGAGAAAACGTATCATACTAAAATCGGCTGCCTTCGATTCGATATCGCAGATGAAACTGTAGCGAGTTCTACCGTAGAATTGATAATTGGGGATCATCTATCCATGAGACGGATCTGATCTTTATATGTATTTAATTATGAGTAATTATTTGTGTATATATCTGAAAATGTGAATAAAGATTTTAAAAATGGTTGTATGACTAGGTTACAACTTGTAATATAGTGGCGCAGAATCGAATAGGATGATATTATTAATTTATATATATTTTATAATTCTGATTATCTGGGCTCATTGAATTAATAAAACATTCATCATTAGCCTAAAAAATAGCTATTGAGATCTTTTCTCTGAAATGAGAGCTTCGCCAGCTCCCCCTTATTTCTGATCTGGCGACTGATATCTTTGAAGAAGTTATTTGTTAATCATCTTATGTTGTTAGGTTTTAACCTGTTATTGATATAAAATATAACTTGAGATTCAGATGAATAACAATTTTTATAAGACCTATTTATTGACTTCTTGTTAATTATTGGGGAATTTGTGTCCATGCACGAAAATCCAATAAGAATTTAGATGTCTACTGTCAGTAGATTAGAAAGTTTTAATGTTAGAGTAAACTGCAGATCTCAATGCGATCGATATTATTTGATTGCATAAAAAGTCGGATTTGCCCACAAGGATTGCAATTAATTAAAATATAAAAGGGTGATCGGCATTTGCTGCATCAATATGATAATAAAAAAGTTATTTTACTTGTCAGATATAACGTAGCTGAGCTTTTGAGTATTCAATTCTGATTTGAGATTTTTAGATGGGATAATCTCATAAAATATCTCTCCTTAATGAGTAATGAATTTAAATCTATTAAAGATTAAATACTCAAAATAAGATAATCAGTTTTTCACAAATGATAAATTCCAATCTTTCTCATAGAATTCGTAGATTATGCTGCATTTTAGTAGAGTAGAACAAATTATTATAAAAGT